GGTGTACAATATAGTGAGTCAACAACTCTATACATTATTCAGTGCTCATCACGATGAGTGTACTCTTAATCCCCTTCACCCCCCACCCACCTCCCCTCTGGCCTAGTTAGAAGTCTGGTTTAGGGGTGTGGTTTTTTATCTCATTTTTCTTTGCTGGTTTGGTTTTTTTCCCTTAAATTTTCCATATTATCTTTGAAATGATATGATATTTGTCTTTCTTTGACTTACTTTGCTTGTCATTATACCATCTAGATCTGTCCATGTTGCAAATGGCAAGATTTCGTTATTTTCTATAGCTGAGTAATATTCCTCTGTGTGTGTGTGTGTGTGTGTGTATACCACATCTTTATCCATTCAGCTATCAATGGACATCTGGTTTCAGCCATTCTGAGAAGTGTGAGGTGACATCTCATTGTGGTTTTGATTTGCATTTCCCTAATGACGAGTGATGTTGAGCATCTTTTCACATGTCTGTTGGTCATTTGGATATCTTCTTTGGAGAAATGTTTGTTCATGTCTCCTGCCCATATTTTAATTGGATTATTTGGTTTTCCGTGTTGAGATGTATAAACTCCTTACATATTGGATGGAGCCCCTACCCTAGGCCTGAAGTTGCTTGACCATATTTGATTCTAACCTTTTATTGGATATGTCACTTGCAATACCTTCTCCCATTCAATAGGTTGTCTTTTAATTTTGTTGACTGTTTTCTTTGCTGTGCAGAAGCTTTTTATTTTGGTGTGATCCCAATAGTTTATTTTTCTTTTGTTTTCCTTGCCTCAGGGAAATACCGACAAAGATGTTGCTACAGCTGATAGCAAAAATTACTTCCTGTGCTCTTTTCTATGATTCTTATGGTTTCAGGTCTCAAAGTTAGATCTTGAATCCATTTTATTTTTGTGTATGGAATAAGAAAGTTACTTGGTTTCACTCTTTTGCAGGTAACTGTTAAGTTTTCCAAACACTATTTCTTTAAGAGACCATCTTTCTTCTCATTGAATATTCTTGCCTCCTTGTTGAAAATTAATTTGACTATATTATCGTGGGCTTATTTCTGCCCTCTCGATTCTGTTCTACTGACCTATGTATCTGTTTTCATGCCAGTGCCATACTGTTTTGATTACTACAGCTTTGTAGTATATCTTGAAATCTGGAATTGTGATACCTTTAGTTTTTTGTTTTTTTTTTTCAAGATTGCTTTGGCTATTCGGGTATTTTGTTATTCTATATAAATTTTGGGATTCTTTGTTCTAATTCTGTGAAAAATATCAGCAATTTCATGGGGACTGCATTGAATCTATGAGTTGCTTTGGGTAGAAATTTTAATAATATTCTCCCAATCCATGAACATGGAATATTTTTCAGTTTGTTTTTGTCTTCTTCAATTTCTTTCATCAGTGTTTCATAGTTTTCAGAGTAGTATAGGTCTTCTGTCTCCTTGGTTAAGTTTATTCCCAGGTGTTTTATTTTACTATTTTTGGTGTAGTTGTAAATGGGACTGATTTCTTAATTTCCTTTTTTAAATGTTTTATTTATTTTTGAGAGAGGGAGAGACTGAGTGTGAGCAGGGAAGGGACAGAGAAAGAGGAAAACACAGAATGCGAAGCAGGCTCCAGGCTCTGAGCTGTCAGCACAGAGCCCGACATGGCGCTCAAACTCACAGACCGTGAGGTCATGACCTGAGCCAAAGTTGGTCACTTAACCAACTGAGCTACCCAAGTGCCCCTCTTAATTTCCTTTTTGATTTTTTTTTTTTGTTAACCTATTTATTGTTTAGCAGCATGTGATTTAACCTCCATGTATTTGTGTTCTTTCCAGATTTCTTCTTGTGGTTGATTTGTTAGTTTCATAGTGTTGTGGTCAAAAAGATGCATGGTATGCATTCACTTTTTTAAAATTTGTTGACACTTGTTTTGTGGCCTAATCTGTGTTTGATTCTGGAGAATGTTCTATGTGTTACTGGGAAGAATGTGTATTCTGCCATTTTAGAATGAAATGTTCTGAAAGATCTTTATTTATTATTTTTTAAATAGTTTATTGTCAAGTTGGTTTCCATATGACACCCAGTGCTCATCCCCACAAGCGCTGCTTCTTGAAGAAGAAGAAGGGGGGAAACAGTGGGGGAGAGGGAGGGAGGCAAACCATGAGAGACTCTTGAAAGCTGAGAATAAACTGAAAGATCTTTTAGATCCATCTGGCCTAAAGTCAATGTTTCCTTGTTAATTTTCTGTTTGGATGATCTGTCCTTTGATGTAAATGGGGTGGTGAAGCCCCCTGCTATTATTGTATTATTATCAATTAGTTTGTTATGAACTACTTTATGTATTTGGATACTGCCGTGTTGAATGCATACATGTTTACAATTGTTATATCTTCTTGTTGAATTTTCCCTTCATGATTATGGTAATGTCTTTGTCTCTTTTCCAGTCTTTGTTTTATCATCTACTATGTCTGATATAAGTATTGTCATCCCAGCTTTCCTTGTATGATATATGATTCCATTTGTATGATAAATGCTTTCCCATCCCTTTACTTTGAATCTACGTGTGTCTTTAGTTCTGATATGTGTCTCCTGTAGGCAACAAATAGATGAGTCTTACTTTTTTATCCATTCCATCACCCTATGTCTTTTGACTGGAGCATTTAGTTTGTTTACATTCAAAGTAATTATTGATAGGCATGTACTTAACTCCCATTTTGTTATTTATTTTATAGTTGTTTTATTGTTCTATTCCTTTATTCTCTTTCTCTCAAGGTTCATTGGGTTTCTTCAGTAATAAACCTGGATTCCTTTCCTTTATTTTTTGCATATCTATTACCAGTTTTGGTTTGTGGCTCCATTAGTTTTATCTTATACGTATAGCAGTCTATATTAAGTTAATGGTTGCTTAAATTTGAACCCACTCTAAAACCACTAAACTTTTACTCTTCCCCCCACATCTTAGGTGTCTGGTGTCATACTTTAGATCTTTTATTTTGTGAATCCCTTGACTGAGTTTTATAGATATACTAAATTTTACTGCTTTTGTGCTTCCCACCTGTCTTACTCTTGCTTATGATCTTATTTTTTCATTCTGAGTTTGCTTTAAATTTCTCATAGGATTGGTTTAGTGATGTTGAATTTGTTTAACTTTTTGTTTGGGAAACTCTTGATTTCTTCTTCTATTCTGAGTGATAGCTTTAATGGATAGAGTATTCCTGCTTACAAGTTTTTTTCTTTCAACACTAATATATCAGCTACTCCCTTCTAACCTACAAAATTTATGCTGAAAAATCAGTAAAAAGCCTTATGGGTTTTCTTTGTATGTAACTGTTTGCCTTTCTCTTGCTTCTTTATAAATCCTCTCTTTATCACTACTGTTTGGCATTTTAATTACTGTGTGTCTTGATGTGGACTTCCTTGGGTTGATTTGTTGGGGGTTCTCTATGCCTCCTGGATCTGGAGTTTAGTTTCCTTCTCCAGGTTAGGAAAGCTTCCCATTATTATTTCTTCAAATAAATGCTCTGCCCCTTTTTGTCTCTCTTCTCCTTTTGAGATTCCTGTAATGCAAATGTAATTATGCCCGATTATGGCATCGAATTCCCTTAATACATTCTCCTTTTTTTTATTGTTTGTTATTCTTCTCTCATGTTCAGCTTGATTGCTTTGTATTACTCTCTCCTCCAGGTTGCTGATCCATTCTTCTTCCTCTCACACTTATTTCCCCTAGTGTATTTTTTTAGGGGAGTGTGTGAGTTGGGAAGAGAGGGAGAGAGAAAGAGAATCCCAGGCAGGTTCCATGCTCAGTGTGGAGCCCAATGCAGGGCCCAATTCCTGCATGACCCTGGGATCATGACCTTAGCTGAAAAAAAGAGTCAGATGCTCAAATAACTGAGCCACTCAGGTGCCCCTCCCTCTAGTGTACTTTTGACTTCAGCTATTGAATTTTTCATTCTGATTGGTTCTTTTATAAAATTTATTTATTTATTTAGAGAGAAAGAGAATGAGCAAAGAAGGGACAGAGAGAAAGAGAGGACAGAGGATCCCAGCTGCGCTCTGTGCTGACAGCAGTGAGCCCAATGTGGAGCTCAAACTCACAAACCATGAGATCATGACCCGAGCCAAAGTCAGACACTTAACCAACTGAGCCACCTAGGTGCCTCTGATGGGTTCTTTTTTATGGTTTCTTTCTCTTTCTTGAAGGTCTCTCTAAAGTCCTACCTTCTTTTCCCATGTTCAATGAGTATCTTTATTACCATTACTTTAAATTCTCTATTAGGCATGTTATTTATCTCTGTATTTAGCTCTTTTGCAGTAATTTTTGTCCTTTTGTTTTTCATTTGGGACATATTCTTCTGTCTTCTCATTTGTCTTCTCTGAGTCTGTTTCTATGTGCTGGGAAAGGAGCTACATCTCTTGCTCTTGAAAGAAGAGGTCCCGTAGTATGCTGCAGAGGTATCCCCTGTTCACCAGAACTTGGCACCTGAGGGGTGTCTTCTGTGTGTTGCATGTGCCCTACTGTTGGGGCTGAGCTGTGTTTGCCTTCAGCCTAGTCATGTGCAATAGCTCTATTTGCCTATTGTGGGCATGGTTTATTACTTGCGTTGTTAGTAGGCCAGTCTGTGGCCATCATGGGCTTCAGGAAAGTCAGACCAGGCATTTGCCAGAGTTGCTAGAGCAACAAACTGCACAGCTCTACCTTGGACAACAAACTGGACAACTCTACCTTGTTCCCTGAGAAGCTTTTGTTGGTGGGCAGGGCCTACAGTCAGACCAGATGGGTGCACTTGAACTGGTGTGTGTGGTTATCTTTCCCTCTCCCCAGGGCGGGAGTCACTTTGGAGTGGTGCTGGTCCCTGTCAGGGCTGCTTGCATCCTGCTTGTGACACAGCCTTAGAGGAACTCCTGCTGAGGGTAGGTAGGTCTGCAGGAGAATATGGGAGAGGGGTGCTTGGTCCACAACGGTCCAGTGTGGGAAGGGACCTGCAGGCACTCTGAGAAAACTCTTGTCTAGCCTGAGATGGTGGGGGAGCATCAGCGGGAGAATGTGGGTGCAGGGCACACTGTTAGCAAGCTAGGCGGCGAGGGTTTGTGCTGCACTGGTTCCTGCAGGTATCCATGTAACTTGGCCGAGGGATGGGGAAGGGAAATGGAACCTGCCAGCACTTCTGTTCCTGGAGAAGTCTCCCAAAGGTCCCTGTCCCTCCAGCACATGCTCTCAGATGAGTAAGTAAATCTTCTTCCTGTATGCCCCAGGTGTTTTACAAACTGCTGTGTTTATGCTCTATCTTGGGAAGGCGTTGGTTGTGCTGTCTTTTTAAGGGCAGGTACTTCATATTGCCTTCCAGCTCTCCCAGAGCCAAGCCCACTGATTTTCAAAGTTCTAGGTGTTCAGTCCCACTGATTGTAAGAACTAGTAAGGTTGATAACCACCCCCCACCCCCCACCAGGATTTTAAAGCCTAATATTCTGGTTATTTGTCTTTCCTGTGCATGTTTCCCATGCCTGGGTGCCTGGTGTGAGGTTTTCTCCTCTACCCTCTGTGCCCACCACATCCCTCCCTCCCACGAGGAGTCCTGTGGGTCCATTTAGCTTCTGACTGTGACTCTGCCCTTCTTACCCTCTTTGATGTGGCCTCTTCCTATATTTATGAGTGAAGAGCCTCCTCAGCCAGTCTTGGGTTATTTTGGGGGCTATTTATACTGATGTGGGTGTTATCTAGGTTTATCTATGGAATGAAGTGAGCTCAGGATCCTTGTTTTCCACCATCTTGCCGAGAAGTCTAACACCTTATTTCTAATAAAGAAATGATATACCAGGATCAATTTACTGATATCTACATGAGTGTTTAAAGATCAACCAGTTCATAAGTATAGAGTAATTATAGTTATTTGGACAAAAAAAATGGTCTAGAATTATATGTGGTATCTGATCATGTACCTTTTCAATCCTTTAGCCCAAACCCTAATGAATTGACATCAGAAACCTACGAGGAACACGACAATGAAATGTGAGATTAAAAAGCATAAAGATAAATATAAGTATATAATGATAAATAAATATATGTATATGCACACACACACATCATGCTCCTGTCAACACAAGTACACAACACTCATACACCTGCACACACACAGAAATAGATAGAATTTGTGAAATTTACCCTGAGGAGCATCCAAAGCAATATGGAGTGTCTGACACTGTTTTTAAATCTTCTGACGTTAACATTATAGGTAACTATTATTTTCAGATCCACTTAAATAAAAGAGCAGGTCATGAAAGGGATGCTTCTTCCTTTAAGCATATTTGTTACCCTTAGTGGGGGTATTAAGATATTATCAGATGGCCCGTATATGAGATTTTACTTTCATGGGCCAAGAGAAGAGAGATTGGTATTTGCAAGAAGGAGGAGTCTACAGTGGATGGAACATTGAGGCCGGGAGAAAACAGTGGAGATAATAGACTGGATGTATCCATGACCCTCAAGAGTTCTGCCACTATATTGGGCTAATACTCCATCCCAAATCGATTATACTGGAGGGAGCCTCTACCTCAAGTCTTTAGCTACTTAACCCTGTTTGGGGTTCTGGAAACATAGCCATGAAGCATAAGAATAAGCAGATGACGGAGGAAGTTGCCAGTCATGCAATTAGTTGGAGTCAAAAGGATATATATCTCTAAACCAATAAACTGAAGTCAACTAGAAATAAATTCTACTACCAAAGGTAGTTAGATATTGGGTTAGGGTAATGATAAAGAACACTTGACCTAAATCTTGATGTGTTCACTTTTCCTGGGCCTAAGATAATCATGACCACCATATAAACCCTCATTTCTAATATGAAATGACACACCAAGTTCCAGATTATTGACCTGTACTTGGATTGTTAAAAGTCACCTAACTCATATTATACATTGATTGTAGTTATTAGAATGGAAAAAAGGCAATCTAGAATTATACATTGTGTCAGACTGTATACCTTTTTGTTTCTTTAGCCATGCCCAGAATGAATTGACATTAGAAAACTATGAGGAACCCACCAATGAAATGTGAGATATGAATGCATGAATTTAAAATTGTATGTATAATCTCAACAAATACACACATAAAACAATAGAGATTAATATTTGTAAAAAACATTCTCAGGAGTATCCAGGGCAATAGAGTGTCTTCAGTACTGCTCCTAAGTTCTCTCACTGTGGTTTATGTGGGGAACTTTCTATCTTGTTTTAGATTTAGTTAAATCTAAAAGGAGGAAGTCCGAAGAGGAATGCTTCTTCCTCTGAGTGGGTTTCTCTGAGCAGCAGCCAAACCCTTAGATGAAAGTCAAGAGAAGGAAGGACCTCAGAATCACGAATTTAAATGGGAAAGGAGGATGGCTGCCTCCAAACTGAAGTTGAATTTGAAATAAACTCTACCATGAAAAGCTGTTACACACTGGGTTTAGAGCGATATCTAAACCCGTATCTACTAAAGATAGTAAAGAACTTCTTATAAATCAGTGCATGAATTCTTATAGGCCTAAGGTAGTTATTATCATCCCATATAAAGTCTCATTTCTAATAAAAAAAAATGACCTACCAGGTTAAATTAGTGATATATACATGAATTTTTAATGATTGACAAGTTCATAAATATGGAGCAATTGTAGCTGTTTACATGGGAAAAAAGTCAGTATTACACATGGAGTCTGACTATGTACCTCTTTAACCTTTTAGCACAGCCCTGACTGAATGGAAATCAGACAACTATGAGGAAGTCTCTAGTAAAATGTGAGATATCTATGAACAAAGATAAATATATATTTATATTTATATATATATATGTATAGGCACATATATATGTATATGCTTAAATCCACACAGATGCACAAAGACATGTACACAAACATAAATACAATGAATGAAAGGGATGAGGTTACCAAATGCATTCTTGGGAGCATCCATGACAGTAAAGTACAGTGTCTTTGACTCTTTCTGAATCTTCTTACTCGTAGGTAATTTCCTGCCTTTTTTTTTTTTTTAAATCTATTTGGGTCAAAGAGGAGCAGATCATAATAGGAATCCTTCCTCCTCCTAGTGACAAGGAGCCAAAACCTTTTGGAGATTTCCAGAGTGCCTGTGTTTGAGTCTTACTAGATTGGGTGAAGAAGGAACAGAATCCTACTTAAGACAAAGGAAGAAGTAGCAGTAGTCAGGGAACAGAGGAGCCCTCCGCAGAAAGAAAGGAGCCAATTGAAACTAGGTCTGTACTCCATACTCCAAAGCTCTGCTACCATGTGAGACTGGTGCCCCAGACCCACTACCATATCGAAGGGAGCCTCTGCCTCAGATCTTTAGTTACTTAACCCTCTCTGAGGGTCTGGAAAGACAGCCATGAAGCATGAAGAGTAAGAAGGTGATGGAGGAAGTTGCCAGTCATGCAATTAGTTGGAGTCAAAGGAATATGCACCTATAAACTGAAGTCAAATCGAAATAAATTCTACTACCAAAGGTAGTTACATATTGGGTTAGGGTAATGATAAAGAACCCTTGACCTAAATCTTGATGTGTTCACTTTTCATGGGCCTAAGATAATCATGACCACCATATAAATCCTCATTTCTAATATGAAATGACACACCAAGTTCCAGATTATTGACCTGTACTTGGATTGTTAAAAATCAACCAACTCATATTATAGATTGATTGTAGCTATTAGAATGGAAAAAAGGAGATCTAGAATTACACATTGTGTCAGACTATGTACCTTTTTGATTCTTTAGCCATGCCCAGAATGAATTGACATTAGAAAACTATGAGGAACCCACCAATGAAATGTGAGATATGAATGCATAAATATAAAATTGTATGCATAATCTCAACAAATAAACACATAAAACAACAAATAGAGATACGGAGATTTTTAAAATGACACTCAGGAGCATCCATGGAATGTCTTTTAATTTATTTAAATTCGAGTTAGTTAATATATAGTGTAGTGTTTGTTTTAGGAGTAGAATATTGTGCTTCATCCCTTACATGTAACACCTTGTGCTAATCCCAACAAATGCCCTCCTTAATTCCCATCACCCATTTACTCCATCTGCTACCACCACCTCCACTCCAGCAATCCTGTTTGTTTCTCTATATTTGTCTCTTAAGGTTTGTCTCCCTGTTTTTACCTTATTTTATTTTGCCTCTCCTTCCCCTATGTTCATCTGTTTTGTTTTTTAAATTCCACATATGAGTGAAATCATATGTTTTTTTGTCTTTCACTGACTGACTTCTTTGCTTAGCATAGTATACTCCAGTTCCATATACGTCATTGCAAATGGCAAGCTTTCATTCTTTTTGCTGGTTAAGTAATATTCCATTGTATATGTATGCCACATCTTCTTTAGCCATTCATCCGTTGATGGACATTTGAGCTCTTTCCATACTTTGGCCGTTGTTGATAGTGCTGCTTTAAACATTAAGGTGCATGTGCCCCTTTGAATCAACATTTTTGTATCTGTGGATAAATATTTAGCAGTACACTTGCTGGGTTGTAGGGTAGTTCTACTTTTAATTTTGAGGAGCTTCCATACTGTTTTCCAGAGTAGCTGCATCAGTTTACATTTCCACCAGGAGTGCAAAAGCATTCCCCTTTCTCCTCATCCTTGTCCACATTTGCTGTTTCCTAACTTGTTAATTTTAGCCATTCTGACAGGTGCGAGGTGGTACCTTATTGTGGTTTTGATTAGTATTTCCTTGATGATGAGTGATATTGAGCATCATGTGTCTGTTAGTCATCTGGATGTCTTCTTTGGAAAACTGTTCACGTCTTAGTGTATGTCTGAAATGGGCTGTTTGTTTTTTGTGTGTTGAGTTTGATACGTTCTTTAGAGATGGTGGATACTAACACTTTATCAGAAGATTTACAAAAATCTTCTCCTATTCCATTAATTACCTTATAATTTTGTTGATTGTTTCCTTCACTGTGCAGAAGCTTTTTATCTTGATTAAGTTCCAGTAGTTCATTTTGCTTTTGTTTCCCTTGCCTCGGGAGACACGTCTAAGAAATTGCTGTGGCTCAGGTCAAAGAGGTTGCTGCCTGTTATATCTTCTAGGATTTGATGGTTTCCTGTCTTACATTCAGGTATTTCATCCATTTTGTTTATTTTTGTGTAGGGTGTAAGAAAATGGTCCATTTTCTTCTTCTGCATGTTGCTGTCCTGTTTTCCCACACCATTTGTTGAAGAGACCATCTTTTTTCCATTGGATATCCTTTTCTGCTTTAAGATTAGTTGCCCATATATTTGAGGGTTCATTTCTAGGTTCTCCATTCTGTTCCACTGATTGTTTTTGTGCCAGTATCTTGTTAGTATCTTGTGGAGAATTTTTGCATATTGGTCTGTAATTCTCCTTTTTAGTGGGATCTTCGTCTAGTTTTGGAATCAAGGTAATGCTGGCCTCATAGAATGAGTTTGGAAGTTTTCCTTCTATTTATATTTTTTGGAATAGTTTTGAGAAGCGTAGGTATTAATTCTTCTTTAAATGTTTGGTAAAATTCTCCTGGGAAGCCATCTGATCCTGGGCTTCTGTTTGTTGGGAGTTTCTTTTATTATTGATTCAATTTCTTTACTACTTATGGATCTGTTAAAATTTTCTATTTCTCCCTGTTTCAATTTTGGTAGTTAATATGTTTCTAGGAATTTATCCATTTCTTCCTGATTGCCCAATTTGTTGGCATATAATTGTTCACAATATTGTCTTATAATTGGTTATATTTCTGTGGTGTTGGTTGTAATTTCTCCTCTTTAATTCTTTCTTTTAACCTATATTGGTTCTTTTCTTTATCTTCTTGAGAAATCTGGCTAGGAGTTGATAAATTTTATTAATTCTTTAAAAGAACCAGCTCCTACTTTTGCTGTTCTGTTTGTTAATTCTTTAAAAGAACCAGCTCCTAGTTTTGCTGTTCTGTTCTACTGGGTTTTTTTATTTCAATATCATTGATTTCTTCTCTAATCTTCATTATTTCCTTTCTTCTGCTGATTTAAGGCTTTATTTGCTTTTGTTTTTCCAGCTCGTTTAGGTGTAATGTTAGGTTGTGTATTTGAGACATTACTGTCTTCTTTAGGAAGGCCTGGATTGCTATATACTTCCCTCTTCTGACTGCCTTTGCTGCACCCCAAAGATTTTGGACTATTGTATTTTCGTTTTCACCGGCTTCCATGTACTTTTTAATTTCCTCTTTCTTAGTTAACTCATTAATTTTTTAGTAGGATATTCTTTAATCTCCAAGTATTCATGGTTTTTCCATATTTTTTCTTGTGGTTGATTTCAAATTTTGTATGAGCTTGATCTTTTTGTACTTTTCCTGGGCTGATTTATGACCCAATACATGATCTATTCTGGAAATGTTCCATGTTTTATTGAAAAGAATGTGTATTCCCCCTGCTTAAGGATGAAATGTTCTCAATATATCTGTTATGTCCATCTGGTCCAGTGTGTCATTCAAAGTCGTGGTTTCCTTGTTGATTTTCTGCTTAGGTGATCTGTCCATTGCTGTAAGTGGGGTGTTAAAGTCCCTTAATATTATTATTATTATCAATGAATTTCTTTATGTTTGTTAATTGATTTATATATTTGGGTGTCTTTAAGTTAGGGGCATAAATATTTACAATTGTTTGATCTTGATGGATAAACCCCTTAATTATGATTAGGTTAGACCCCTTCTTCATTTCTTGTTAGCTTTTGGTTTCAAATATAGTTTGTCTGATATTAGTAGGGGTACTTCAGCTTTCTTTTGACCTCCATTAGCTTGATAGATGGTTCTCCATCCCCTCACTTTCACTTTTAAAAGGCACTTTTAGACATACAGGTGACTTTAGATCTAAAACGGGTTTCTTGTAGGCAGCAAATAGATGTATCTTGTTGTTTTTTTAATCCATTTTGATACTGTCTTTTGATTGGCTCATTTAGTCCATTTACATTCAGAGTGATTATTGAAAGATATGAATTTAGTTCCATTGTGTTGCCTATAGAGTTGATGTTTCTGGTGATGCTCTCTGGTCATTTTTAAACTTTGTTGCGTTTGGTGTTTTGTTTTTCTCCACTCAAAGAGTTCCCATTCAAATTTCTTATAGGGCTGATTTGTCGTCATGAACTCCTTTAGATTTTGTTTGTCTGGAAAATTCTTTATCTCTCCTTCTATTCTGAATGACAGCCTTGCTGGATAAAATATTCTTGGCTGCATATTTTTCCCATTTAGCACATTTAATATATCCTGCCACTCTATTCTGACCTGCCAAGTTTCTGTGGGAAGATCTGCAAACTTGATTTGTTTCCCTTGTAGGTTAAGGACTTTTCTTCCTTTGCTGCTTTCATAATTCTTTACTTGTTTGTGTATTTTGTGAATCTGACTATGATATGTCTTGGTGATGACTGGCTTTTGCTGAATTTAATAGAGGTTCTCTGTGCTTCTTGGATTTAGATGTATGTCCTTCTCCATATTAGGGAAGTTTTCAGCTATAATTTGCTCACATAAATGTTCTGCCACCTTTTCTCTTTCTTCATCTTCTGGGACTCCTATGATACAAATGTTATTCCTCTTTAGTAGGTCACTGAGTTCACTAAGTCTTGTATTGTGATCTTTGCCTTTGTTTCCCTCTTCTTTTCAGCTTTATTATTTTCCACAATTTTATCTCCTAAATCACTGATTCGCTGCTCTGCTTTATCCAGCCTTGCTATCATGGCATCCATTTGAAATTGCACTTCGGTTATAGCATTTTTAATTTAGGGCTCACAAGATTTTAGTTTAGAGATTCTCTACGGTCTTCTATGCTTTCTTCAACCCCAGATGGTATCCTTATAATTGTAGTTTTAAATTCTAATTGAGACATTTTACTTATATCTGCTTTGATTAAATCCCTGGCCATGACTTCTACTGCCTGTTCCTTCTTTATGGGTGAGTTTCTCTATCTTGTCATTTTGTCCATAAAAGAAAAGAAAAAATAAAGAAAAGAAACAAACAAAAACAAAGAAAAAACCCAAAAAATAAAATTAAAAAAAACAACAACCCTGTATCCTGGGTGTGTTTTGGGCTGCTTGTTTAGAGTCCAGGCCCCAAAATAAAACATAATATAATGAAATGAAATGAAAACAAATGATAAAATAAAAAATAAGAGAATATGCATATATAAAAATGTATACATAAAAATGTAAATAAAAAACAGTAAAAATTTAAAAAGGAATTGAAAATAAGAAAATAAATGAAAAAAGTTAATAATAAAAAATAAAGAATAAAAGTAAAATGGAATTTAGATCCTATGTTTCTTAGAGCTGAAGCCTGCCCAGTAGACTTTGTGCAAGTGAGTTGTTTGTGCTGGTCTTCTAGAGGAGGAGCCTGCTGCATGAATTCTATGGCTGATTTGTTTCAGTGGAAATGCACCTCTAGGGTGCAAAGGAGCAGAGCTTGGCATAAGTGGCTCTGGCCTCCACTGGGTGGTGGTGTTTTGCTCCCTGAAGTCTTTTGGCTCTGAAGAGTGGAATGAAAATAGCAGCACCCTGCTCTATAGCCCTGGAGCTAAATGTTTGCACCACGTATTCTTCAGGCAAACCTCACAGAAGAGCAATTAATCATTCTTCTTGTGTCTCCCGGTTTCCATCCTGTGCCAGCCTGTGGGAAAAAAGCAGTGGCATGAATGTACCGCTGTTCAGAGTTTATGTCAGAGCAGACAGCTAGCACCCGTGTTTGCTCTCCTCAGCCAGAGTGAGTCCCCTCTCTTATGCCTGGAAAGAGCACAGCATGTTGGCATGACCTGTCTTTCTTGTGACCCAAGGGATCCTCAGACCACACTGTCACTTCTTGAATTCTGTCGCACTTCACCACTTGAGCACCTTTACGCCAGGCACTTCCTCCATGGTAGCAGACTGCTAAAAGTTCAGATTTTGTGCTCCCTACTTATACCTTCCCACTAGCCTCCCTCAGCTCCCTCCCCAAGCTGTATCCAGAACAACATCTCTCCCATTAAATTCTCCATGAGTCCTACCTCCCAAAGGGCGGTCACTTTTCTACTTGTAGTCTTGCAATTTTTGTTCTCTCAAACCTCTGTTTGATTTCTTTGGTTTCAGAATGATTTGATAAATATCTATATGTGTTCAAAAGACAAGACAAGCTTAGGGTCTCCCTAATCATCATCTTAACTCCTCCCTGGATTGTCTTCAATATGGCTTCTAAGTTCTCTCAATGTAGTATATGTAGGTAACTTTCTTTCTTTCTTTTAGATTTAGTTGAATAAAAGGGGAAGACATAAAGGGAATGCTTCCTACCTTGAGTGGATTTGTTTCCCTTACTAGTAGCCAAACCCTTAGATGAGAGGAAGGCAAAGAAAGAAGGGCCTCAGAACCAGGAATTTAAGTGAATAAGGGCAATGGCCGCCTCCAAACTGAAGTTGAATTTGAAATCAGTTCTACCACAAAAGGCTGTTACACAATTAGAGTGATAATAAAGAACTTAGAGATTGATACATTATTATTTATAGGCCTAAGATAGTCATTAGCATCTCATATAGAGCCTTACTTCTTTCTTAAAAAAATTTTTTTAATGTTTGCTTAGTTTTGAGAGACAGATAGACAGAGCATGAGCAGTAGAGGGGCAGAGAGGGAGAACAGAAAATGAAGCAAGCTCCAGCCTTTGAACTGTCAGCAAAGAGCCCACTGTGGGGCTCAAACTCCTGAACCACGAGATCATGACCTAAGCCAAAGTCAGATGCTCAACCAGCTGAGCCACACAAGCACCCCAAGCCTCATTTCTATAAAAAAAATGACCTACCAGGTTCAATTAGGTGGTAAATATGAATTTTTAAAGATTGGCCAGTTCATAACTATAGAGCAATTGTAGTTATTTAAATGCAGAAAAGTCAGTCTAGTATTACACATGATGTCTGACTATGTACCTCTTTAATCCTTTAGCACGGCCCTGACTGAATGGAAATCAGACAACTATGAGGAAGTCCCCAGGAAAATGTGAGATATAAATGAATAAATATATATATATATATATATATGCACATATGTATGTATATACTTATATCCACACAGATACACAAAGACACGTACACAAACATAAATACTATGAGTAAAAGGGATGAGGTTTCCAAATGCATTCATAGGAGCATCCATGACAATTCAGTGTCTTTGACTGTTTCTGAACCTTCTCACTGTAGCACCTGTAGATAACTTCCTGTCTGTCTGGATCTAGTTGGATCAAAGAGGAGCAGGATGTAAGAGGAACCCTTCCTCCTCCTGGGGACTGGCAGCCAAAACCTTTTGGAGATTTCCAGAGTGCCTGAGTATGAGTCCTACTAGACTGGGTGAAGAGGGAACAGACTCCTACTAAGACAAAGAGGAGGTGGCAGTAGGCGGGGGACAGAGGAGCGGTGCTAACTGAGCCTGGATCGCTCGCCCTGCAGGCGCTCTGCCACCATGTGCGGCTGCTGCCCCAAATCCAAACCCACAGTCACGTGGAGGGGCCCCTGCCTCTGGCCTGCAGTTACTTGATGCTGTCTGAGGGCAGAGAAGGCCAGCATAAGAGGGTAAAAGGGTGAAGGAAGGACCTGACAGCAGAACATTTGGTGGGAAAGAAGGATGTATACCTGCAAAATGAGGTTGGATTGAAATAACTTCCCCCATGAAAGGCTGGTGCACACTGACCCGGCGTCAGTAGCAAAGATTTGTACTTAACTCTTGAATTATTCACATTTTTGCTAGGTCTAAAATACAGAAGGCAGGGACACCTGGGTATCCCAGTGGGTTAATAGTCCAACTTTGGCTCAGGTCGTGATCTCCCTGTTCACGAGTTTGAGGCCCACCTAGGGTTGTGCGTTGATGGCTCAGAGCCTGGAGCCTGCTTCGGATTCTGTGTCTTCCTCTCTCTCTGCCCCTCCCCTGCTCACACTCTGCTTGTCTCTCTTTCTCTTTCTCTCTCTCTCTTTCTCTCTCTCTCTATCAAAATAAATAAACATTAAAAAATTTTAAATACATATTTTAAATACATATTATGAACCTAGATACTAGGTTTCAGTAACTGATTTGCATGTGAGTTTCCTAAATATCAACCCGTTTATAAGTTTAAGAATAATTGTGACCAATTTGCACTGAATCAGTAAGTCTGCAAGTCATGTGGTGTCTTACTAGGCCTATTTTTAATCTTTTAGCACTGCCATGAATGAATGGACAGCAGTATCCTCTGAAGGGCTCTCCAATGCAAAGTGAGCTATGGTGAATCCATACATATGTAGATATGTATCTGTATACACACACACAGTAGGATTTGGGATGGTCTCTCTCAGGATCACTCGTGGGATAACAAAATTCTGTTAATAAGAGATAACAAAATGCTGTATCTGAAGTCTTCTCATGGTAAGCTTCTATATGTAATACTCTTTATCTTTTGACTGTAGGTGGAAAATGGATAAACAGGTCCTAGACGGAGTCTTTTTAATCCTAGTATTTGTCACTCTTGATTATTGTGTGTGAGATTCTACTAGAATGGCCAGGGAGGAGGAAATCTTATTTAGAGCAAAGAGGTGTCAGCAGAAAGAATGGGGCTAATAGACCCTGGATCTGTCCCTCACCCTCCAGAGCTCTGCCCCCATGTGAAGCTGGTGCCCCAAACCCACCACCATACTGGAAGGAGTCTCTGCCTCGGGTCTTTAGTCACTTGGCTCTGTCTGAGGGGCAGGAAAGACCTCCAGGAAGCATGAAAGTAAGCAGGTGATGGAGGGACTTGCCAATCATGCAATTAGTTGGGGTTGAAGAGATATGTATCTATAAACCAAAGTTGTATTTGAAATAAATTCCACCACACAAAAGCTGTTCACACTGAGTTTAGAGAGATAGTAAAGAACTCTTATGGATTGATGCATTGCATTATTCATTTTTAGGCCTAAGATAGTCATTACCATCTCATATAAAGCCTCATTTCTATTTAAAAAAAATCACCTACTAGGTTCAATTAGGTGGTAAATGCCTGAATTTTTAAAGGTTGACCAGTTCATAACTATGGAGCAATTGCAGTTTTTTAAATGGAGAAAAGTCAGTCTAGTATTACACATGATGTCTGACTATGTACCTCTTTAATCTTTTAGCACGGCCCTGAGTGATTGGAAATCAGACAGCTATGTGGAAGTCATCAGTAAAACGTGAGATATAAATGAATAAAGATATATATATATGTATATATATATATCCATATATATGCATATATGTATATATATACTTATATCCACACAGATGCACAAAGACATGTACACAAACATAAATACTGTGAGTAAAAGGGATGAGGTTTCCAAATGCATTCATAGGAGCATCCATGACAATTCAGTGTCTTTGACTGTTTCTGAACCTTCTCACTGTAGCACCTGTAGATAACTTCCTGTCTGTCTGGATCTAGTTGGATCAAAGAGGAGCAGGATGTAAGAGGAACCCTTCCTCCTCCTGGGGACTGGCAGCCAAAACCTTTTGGAGATTTCCAGAGTGCCTGAGTATGAGTCCTACTAGACTGGGTGAAGAGGGAACAGACTCCTACTAAGACAAAGAGGAGGTGGCAGTAGGCGGGGGACAGAGGAGCGGTGCTAACTGAGCCTGGATCGCTCGCCCTGCAGGCGCTCTGCCACCATGTGCGGCTGCTGCCCCAAATCCAAACCCACAGTCACGTGGAGGGGCCCCTGCCTCTGGCCTGCAGTTACTTGATGCTGTCTGAAGGCAGAGAAGACCAGCATAAAAGGAAAAAAGGGAGAAGGAAGGACCTGACAGCAGAACATTTGGTGGGAAAGAAGGATGTATACCTGCAAAATGAGGTTGGATTGAAATAATTTCCACCATGAAAGGCTGGTGCACACTGACCCAGCATCAGTAGCAAAGATCTGTACCTAACTCTTGAGTTATTCACATTTTTGCTAGGTCTAAAATACAGAAGACAGGGACACCTGGGTGGCTTAGTCACTTAAGTTCGACTTTGGCTCAGTTTGTGATCTCATGGTTTATGGGTTTGAGCATCACCTTGGGCTGTGCACTGACAGCTCAGAGCCTGAAGCCTGCTTCGGATTCTGTGTCTCGCTCTCTCTCTGCCCCTCTGCCACTCACAGTCTCTCTGGGTCTCCCTCAAAATAAATAAACATTAAAAAATTTTAAATACATATTACAAACCTAGGGAAAATGAGATACTAGGTTTCAATAACTGATTTGCATGTGAATTTGCTAAATATCAACCAGTTTATAAGTTCACAAGTAATTGTGACCAAGTTGCAGTGAATCACTAAGTCTAGAAGTCATGTGGTGTCTTACTATGTCTACTTTTAATCCTTTAGCACTGCCATGAGTGAATGGACAGCAGTATCCTCTGAAGGGCTCTCCAGTGCAAAGTGAGCTATGATGTAGATATGTATCTGTACACACACACACACACACACACACACATTGGGATTTGGGGTGTTCACTCTCAGGAGCACCCATGGGAATGCACAGTTCCCTTGATGCTGTTTGTAAAGTCTTCTCACGGCAGGCTTCTATATGTAATATTCTTTTTCTTTGAGTCAAGGTAGAAAAACGATGAAGCGGTCATAGAAGGCATTTTCTCAACCCCAGTCTTCACCCTCAGTTACGAGCAGCCAAACTGATAGGACATTTTCAGATTGCCTGTGTCTGGGTCTCTGTGAGGGTAGGAAGCAGAATATTAATTAGTAAATTAAAAACAGCAAATAGTTATCAGTGTAGAGGATGCAGAGGGTGCCTCAGCAGAAAATAATTGAGCTAATAGACTCAGATCTGTATATATTTTGCCACCACTGGCAGCGGGTACCCCAAGCCCAGACCTCCCATCGCACTGGATAGGACACTTGACTCAGACAGACCTGTACTGATCTGATATTATCTGAGTAGCAAGAAAGACATCCATGGTTCCTAAAAAAGCACACATGGTTTGGAAGGACTTGCAAATCAGGAAATCAGATTGGTCAAGAGAGGTGTATATCTACACTGAGTTAAATAAATGAATCCCATTGTAAAAGAATGTTACACATTGGGTCAGATTCAGTAGTAAAGAACTGTACTTAAATATTGAGTCATTAACTTTTGACAGGGGAAGGTATTCATTACAAAGACATAAAGCCTCATTTCTAGGGGGAAATGACATACCAGATTTCAAATAACTGATTGATATGTAAATTTTAAGAGTGTCAACTATTTTTTAAGTTGGAGAGTAATTTTAACTAATTGAACTAAAATATTTAGAATATCATCTAGTGTCTGACTCTGTCCGTTTTTAATCCCTTAGCACTGCCTGGAGTGAATTAACAACAGAGACTTCTGGTGAAATCAGCAAGGAAATGTGAGATATAAGTAGAGATGTAAACAAAACTATACATATATAAATACACATACCGAGAGGGTGCGAGGGAGAAAGAGAGAAACTGAGATTTGGGAGGTTCATTTTCAGGAGCATTCAAGACATTACAGTGTCTCTTTTTGTTTTTCCTTTTGTGTCTACCTTTTTCTTTTTTAATTTAAATCCAAGTTTACATATAGTGTGAGAATGATTTCAAGAGTAGAACTCAGGGATTCATCCCTTATGTATAACACCCAGTGCTCATTCCCACAAGTGTCCTCCTTAATGTCCATCACCCATTTAGCCCATCCTCCCCCACCATCTACCCTCTGTTCAGTTTGTTCTCTGTATTTAACAGCCTTTTGTGGTTTGTCTCCCTCTGTTTTTATCTTATTTTTGTTTCCCTTCCCCTATGTTTATCCATTTTGTTTCTTAAATTCCACATAGAGTGAAATTATCAGTTTTTTGTCTTTCTCTGACTTATTTCACTTAGCATAATACACTAGTTCTATCCATGTTGTTGCAAATGGCAAGATTTCATTCTTTTTGATCACTGAGTAATATCCCACTAGATATATATACCACATCTTCTTTATCCATTCATCAATCAGTGGACATTTGGGCTCTTCCCATACTTGGGCTATTGTTGATAGTGCTGCTATAAACATTAGGATGCATGTGCCCCTATGAATCAGCATTTTTGCACCCTTTGAATAAATACCTAGTAGTACAATTGCTGGGTTGCAGGGTAGCTCTCTTTTTAATTTCTTGAGGAACCTCCATACTATTTTGCAGAAGACAGTGTGGTGTCTTTGACACCATTTCCAAATTACTGAGGCCTATGAAAGTAACCTTGTCTCTGGTTTGGATAGAGTTGGATAAAAGAGAAACAGGTCATAAGGGGATGCATCTTATTCCTCTTCTGTTTCTCACCCTTAGCTAGTGACCACCCAAACCCCTAGGAAATGATCAAAATGCCCCATGTATGAGACTCTACCAAAGTGGAGCAAGGGGCACCTGGGTGGCTCAGTCAGTTAAGCATCTGACTCTTGATTTTGGCTCAGATCATGATCTCATGGTTCCAGGGATCAAGCCCCATGTTGGGCTCTGCACTGACAGCATGGAGTCAGCTTGGGATTCTCTCTCTCTCTCTCTCTCTCTCTCTCTCCCCCTCTCTCCCTCCCTCCCTCCCTCCCTCTCCCTCTCCCTCCCTCCCTCCCTCCCTCCCTCTCCCTCTCCCTCTCCCTCTCCGCCACTCTCCTCCCCCCCCATTCACGCTCTCTCATGCTCTCTTTCTCTAAATAAATAAACTTAAAAAAAGTGGAACAAGAGAGGAAATAAACCCATTTTGGAGCAAAGAGAAGATTCAGAAGTCAAGAAAATGTGCACAAACTTGATTCATTAAGTTTTTGTCCACAGGAGTAAGATTCTCATTATAAGCATATAAAGCCTCATTTGTAGGGAAACGTTAAATGCCAGGTTTCAAAGGCTGATTAAATTATTTTTAAGTCCATTAGATTGGAAATTGCAGCATAATTGTACCTAATTTTCATCTAAAAATTAAATCTAGAGAGACATGTAAAGTCTTACAATGTGCAGTTTTAATCCTTTAGCAATGACTCAAGTCAGGGGAAAAAAGTAACTGGTGTTAACCCTTTGTTGAAATGTGAGCTATACATACATGGAGATAGAGGAAGGGAGATGCTGAGATTTGTGAAGTTCATTCAGGAAAGTACTGGCAATTCAGTTTCATCACACTTTATCTCAAGTCTTTGCAAGCTTCAGAATGTAACTTTCTTTTCTGGGTCTATTTGGGACAAGGTGACCAGGTCATAAAGGGAAATCGTCTGTTACCTTTTGTAGCAGCCAAAACACTTAGGAAACTACCAGATTGCCCAGATATGAGACGACATACCCCCTGAGTGTGTGGGCAAGAAAAGACAGAATTGAATTTGGAGCAAGGAGGAGTCCCCAGTGGATAGGGAGCAGAGGAACCCACAGCAGAAAAAAAAAAAAAAAAAAAAAGGAGCTAGTAGACCCTGGATATGCCTCTTACCCTCCAGAGTACTGCTACCATGTGAGGGTGGTACCCCTAACCCCCTGCCACACTGGAGGCAGCCCCTGCCTCGGTTCAGCAGTTATTTGACCCTTTCTGAGGTACAGGAAAGACCTCTATGATTCCCGAGGGGTTAATAGGTGGTGTAGGGACTTAAGACAGAAACTTACAAGGACAAGCAAGATTAGTATCTACAGACTCAGGTTGAATTCGAAGCAAATTTAACCACAAAATGGTATTATATTTGGGGATTAAAAGAAGTGTACAGAAACTTGATGTATTAATATTTTCTACAGGACTAAGATTTTCATTACAAACACGTAAACTTAATTTCTAGGGGAAAACTAAATACCAGGTTTCAATGAACTGATTAAGATGTTACATTCTTAGGTCAGCCAGATTATAAATTGTAGAGTAATTGATGCTAATTTGCATTTAAAAATAAGTCTAGAAGGGCACGGAGTCTTACAATGTGCATTTTAAATCCTTTAGCTGTGACCCACGTGAGTTGAAAAAAGTAACTGGTGTTAAAGGAACCAAGGAAAGGTGAGATATAAACATAGAGAGAGGAAGGGGGATACTAAAGTTTATGAGGTCAAATTAGTTATGAAGTCCTTGTTTCCAACAATCAGGTAAATCCTATCCAAGTTATCCATGATATGTGAAGAGTAGAAGGTGTTGGAGGGACTCAGATTCCAAATAACTAATTGACATATTTTTAAGAGTTCAATCCTTTTATATATTGTATAGCAAATGTATCA